CTTAATCAGGGTCATGGTGTCCAGTTTCTTGCTGCCATTCTTGCCATTCTCCTCCAGCTCTGACCCTGATCCTGCCAGAGACAAAATCCTGTCAGTGGCTGGCACACGGACGGTCCCGGTGCTCCCACACAGGGGTGGTCCTGGCATCCCTGCTCCTGGAACAATTAAACCAGACAAAATTAGACCAGAGAGACAAAGCATCCTGTGAGTGACGTTGCCCTGTGGTGTGTCACCATCTCCAGGGTCCCCATCCTGACAGCCCAGTGCCAGCAGGATGTTCCTGGGGACATCCCAGGATGGGATGTGACACTCTTGGGATGTGACATCCCTGGGACATGTTTCCCGTGGGATGGAACATCCCTGAGGACACCCTGGTGCTGGGCTGGGACATCCCTGGGGACAGCCCCATCCCTGAGGAAACCCCAGTGTGGCACATGACACCCCTGGGAACATCCTGCTCCCAGGATGTGACACCCTTGGCTCACCCTGGTTCCCATACACTCGTGGCCCCACTGGCTGTGCCTGGCCTCTGTTCTGGGGGCACTGGTGGCCACTGAGCCAGGGGCAATGGTGACCCAGCCAACTGTGCCAAACTGGGTGCCCAGTCCGTCCCCAGTCCTATCAGGCCATGCCATACTGGGTGCCCAGTGCCATCCAGCTGTGCCATGCTGGGCACCCAGACCCATTCAGGTGCACCATGACTGGTGGACAGCCAGTCTCAGTGCTGAGAGCCCACTGGGACACTCCCAGTAAGGAGCACCTGGCTCCCAGTGTGCCCTGCCCAGTTCCCAGAGCAGGATATCCCAGTGCCCCACCTGGGGCTCCCAGTACCTCCTGGTCTGGGGCAATGGTGGCAACAAATTCCCAGTCCAGGCTCTCCAGTTACTGCTCTGCTCCCACCAGTGCCCACTGGACTCCACTGGAATCCAGGATGGGGCACCCAGTAACGGGCACAGGGTTCCCAGTGGGCAGACTGGGCTGCCTGGTGCCACATTGGTGCCCAGTTCCTGAATCCCAGTGCCCAGCATGGCTGCCTAGTGCCCACTTCCCAGTGCAAGCACAGGGTGCCTGCTTCCAGGTGCCCAGTGTCCAGTGCAAGGTTCCTAATGTTTGGGCAGCTTTTGTAGGATGCCCCATGCCAGTTCTCAGTGCTGAGTGCCCAGTGCTGAGTGCCCAGTTCCTGGCACCAGGTGCCACGTCTGGCTGTGCAGTGCCAGGTTCCCAGTCCCAGTTCCTGGTGCCCGCTGCTGGATGCCACATTCCGAGTACAGGAAGTGCCCATTCCCAGTTCCCAGTGCTCAGTGCTGGGTGCCAGGTCTGGATGCCCAGTGTAAGGTTCCCAGTGCCCAGTTCCTGGTGCCAGGTACCCATTGCAGGATATCCTATTCCCACTGTCTGGTGCCCAGGGCTGGGTGCCCCATTCCTGTTTCTGCATGTTCTGGTGCAGGATGCCACATTCCCAGTGCAGGAAGTGTCCATTCCCAGTACCAGGATCCCAGTGCAGGGTGCCCATTCCCAGTGCCAGGATCCCAGTGCAGGGTGCCACATTCCCAGTGCATGGTTACCAGTGCTGGGTGCCCAGTTCCCAGTGCTGGCTGTCAGCTCTGCATGCCCAGTGCTAGATTCCAGGTGCCAGTGCAAGGTGCCCATTCCCAGTGCCAGGATCCCAGTGCAGGATGCCCATTCCCAGTGCCAGTTTCCCAGTGCAGGGTGCCCCATTCCCAGTGCCAGGATCCCAATGCAGGGTGCCCATTCCCAGTGCAGGGTGCCCATTCCCAGTACCAGGATCCCAGTGCAGGGTGCCTATTCCCAGTGCAGGGTGCCTATTCCCAGTGCCAGGATCCCAGTGCAAGGTGCCCATTCCCAATGCAGGGTGCCCATTCCCACTGTCTGATTCCCAGTGCAGGGTGCCAGGTCTGGCTGCCCTGTTCCCGGTGCCAGGTTCTGGTACAGGATGCTTCATTCCAGGTGTCCAGTTCCCAGTGCCAGGGAACATCCTAAGACATGCCAGGACAACCTGCACCACAAACTGAGCACTGGGAATCCTGCCCTGGGCACCCAGACCCGGCACCCTCTGCTGTGCGCCCAGCTCCCGGTACTGGAGGTCAGGGTGCCAGGTCTCGATGCCCAGTACCGGGTTCCCGTGCCCTGTTTCCCACTGTCCAGCGCAGGATGCCCCTGTTCCCGGTGCCCCGTTCCCAGAGCAGAACGAGCCGGTGCAGAACCTGCTCCTCTCGGTTCCCAGCGCCCGGTGGAGGATGCTCCGTCGGCGGTTCCCAGTGCAGGATGCCCCGTTCCCAGCGCCCGGTGCGGGATGCCCTGCTGCCGCTTCCCGGTGCCGGACTCCCCTCTCCCGGTGCCGTTGCCCGCCCGCCGCGCGGCGGCGCTCGGACCGGGGGTCGGCGGGCGCGGCCCCCGGTCGCGAAGCCCCCCCCCGCCGCCGCCGCCCTCACCGGTGTCGGCGGGCGGCCCGGCCCGCTCCAGCCAGGCGCTCCAGCTCTGCCCCGCGAACTCGTCCAGGCCGGGCACCGGCCGCCGCTCCGCCGCCATCGCCGCCGCCGCCGCCGCGGCACCGCCGCCCCCCCCCGCGCCGCCCCCGCCCCGCGCATGCGCCGCGCGCCCCGCCCGCCCCGCGGCACCACGGGCACGGTAGTCCCGGAGCGACCCCCGCCCGGCCCGAGCCCGGCAGCCAACCCGCTATCCCCGCCCCGAGCTGGGGACACCCGGTACCCGCACTGCCGGGGGTCCCGAGGGAGCCCTGTACCAGGCTGGGGTCTGCTGTTATCCCTGCACGGGGATGGGGGTACCCGGTATCCCTATAACAGGTTAGGGGTACCCGGTTTCGCTAGAACAGGTTAGGGGTACCCGGTGTCCCTAGAACAGGCTGAGGGTTCCCAGTATCCCTATAACAGTTAGGGGCACTCGGTATCCCTATAACAGGTTAGAGGCACTCGGTATCCCTATAACAGGTTAGGGGTACCCGGTATCCCTATAACAGGTTAGAGGCACTCGGTGTCCCTATAACAGGTCAGGGGCTCTCGGTACCCCTATAACAGGTTAGGGGCACTCGGTATCCCTATAACAGGTCAGGGGCTCTCAGTATCCCTATAACAGGTTAGGGGCACTCGGTATCCCTATAACAGGTTAGGGGCATTCAGTATCCCTATAACAGGTTGGGGGCACTCGGTATCCCTATAACAGTTAGGGGCACTCAGTATCCCTATAACAGGTTGGGGGCACTCGGTATCCCTATAAAAGGTTAGGGGCATTCAGTATCCCCATGCTCAGTTGGGGTTCCCTCTTGTCCCCATACCAGACCCAGAGCCCAAGTTATTCCTATAAGGGGCTGGGATCTCCTGTTATCTCTGTATGGGCATGGGGGTATCCCTCTAACAGGTTGGGGGTACCCAGTATCCCTATAACAGGTTGGGGGCACTCGGTATCCCTATAACAGGTTAGGGGAACTCGGTATCCCTATACGTGGTTATCCCCTGTTATCCCCATATCGGACCCAGAACCCCAGTTATTCCTATTAGGGGCTGGGATCCGGTATAGTTATCTCTGTACAGGGATGGGGGTATCCAGTATCCCTATAACAGGTTGGGGGTACCTGGGTATCCCTATAACAGCTTGGGGTTCCCTGTTGTCCCCATAACAGACCCAGAACCCCAGTCTATCCTATAAGGGGCTGGGGTCTCCTGTTATCCCTATATGTGGATTGAGGGTACTTGGTATCCCTATAACAGTTTAGGGGCACTTGGTATCCCTATACTCGGTCAGGGTTCCCTGTTATCCCCATACCAGACCCAGAACCCCAGTTATTCCTATAAGGGACTGGGGTCTGGTATAGTTACTCCTATACCGGGCTGTGAGCCCAGGGTATTGCCATACAAGGCTGAGGTTCCAGGTTATTCCTGTGAGGGGCTGGGGTTCCCCATTATGCCTATACCAGCCTGGGATGCTCCATTATCCTTCCACTGGTCTGGGGTTCCCTATTATCCCTATATTGAGCTGGGACTCCCTGCCATTATTCCCATTCCAGCTGGAGGTCCAGCTGATCCCTATACAGGACTGGTGCTCCCAATGTTATCCCAATACCAGACTGGGGTTCCTGATTATCCCTATACAGGACTGGTGCTCCCAGTATTATCCCAATACCAGACTGGGGTTCCTGATTATCTCTATACTGGAGTGGTGCTCCCAAATGTTATCCCAATACTGGACTGGGGTTCCTGATTATCCCTATACAGGACTGGTGCTCCCAATGTTATCCCAATACTGGGCTGGGGTTCCTGATTATCCCTATACAGGACTGGTGCTCCCAATGTTATCCCAATACTGGGCTGGGGTTCCTGATTATCCCTATACAGGACTGGTGCTCCCAATGTTATCCCAATACTGGGCTGGGGTTCCTGATTATCCCTATACAGGACTGGTGCTCCCAATGTTATCCCAATACCAGACTGGGGTTCCTGATTATCTCTATACTGGAGTGGTGCTCCCAGTATTATCCCAATACCGGACTGCATTTCCTGATTATTCTTTTACTGATCTGGGGTCCCCTGTGACCTGTCTGGGACCGTCCATCAGCCCGAACTGATCTGAGATCCACAGCCCACCCTCTACCAGAGATGGGACGGGTTTATCCCTGCACGGACCAGGGATCGTGCCCCACCCGGGTGTGTGCTCAGCTCCGCACCGAGGCAGACACAGGAGCCCCAGTGCACAGCTGGTAGCCAGGACTTTATGCGCCCCACACAGACACGGAGCCCCGGGTGACACACGGAGCCCCCGACACCGAGCGGGACCCCCGGGGTGACACACGGAGCCCCCGACACCGAGCGGGACCCCCGGGATTCCGTGTCCCCCTCCAGCATCCGAACCCCCGGCGGCTCCAACGCGGGGACAGCGACACCCCGTCCCCGGGCTGGCGGCCGGCGCGAGGTCCCGGGGGCCGGGCGGGGTCCCGAGCGGGGTCCCCCCGGGCTGGGTCCCCCCGGTCACTGCTTGTCGATGGCGCCCTGCTCGGCCGCGCTGTCGCGGGGCGCGGGCGGCCGCAGCCACGGCGTCTCCCGCAGCACGAACCAGCAGTTCCCGGCCCACAGCAGGAAGTTGAGGAACCCGAAGAGCTGCAGGAGAGGAAAGGGGAGAGGACAGAGAAACAGGGAGAGGGTCCCACAGGGCAGCCTTGGGGGAGTATAGCACCCCATACACAACCTGTGTGCCCCATGAGCTCCAAACACCCCATGAACCCTGTGCATCCCAAATTTCCCATACATTAATACACTGCATGCAGCCTGTGCATCGTGTGTGCCCTGTGCACCCCACACACCCCAAACTTTCCATACATTCCATACACCCCATGTACCCTGTGCATGGTGTGTGCCCTGTGCACCCCACACACCCCAAACTTTCCATGCATTCCATACACCCCATGTACACCTGTGCATGGTGTGTGCCCTGTGCACCCCACACACCCCAAACTTTCCATACATTCCATACACCCCATGCAGCCTGTGCATCGTGTGTGCCCTATACACCCCAAACTTCCCATACACCCCATACACCCTATACTTTCCATACATTCCATACACTGCATGCAGCCTCTGCATCGTATGTGCCCTATACACCCCACACACCCCATAATTCCCGTACATCCCACGCACCCCACTGTGCTCCAGGCACCCACGTGCCCCATGTGTATCCCACATCCTGCGCCCCACACACCCCAAATTCCACACCCACGCACCCCAGGCACTTTATGCACCCCATGTGCCCCAGTGTGCACCCCACAGACCCTGTATGCCACATGTGCCTCATGCACCCCATGTGCACCGTGTAACCCCCATGCCAGATGCACCCCATGCACCCCACTTCACCCCATACCTCAAGCACCTCATATGCCCCATGCACATCATGCACCTCACACATCCCAAACACTGCCAGGGACTGCACCACCGCCCTCCACCCCATCCCAGTAGTCCCTGGTGGCTGGGTGCCACAATCCCATTGCCAGGATCCCTGTGCCAGGATCCCAGTGCAGGGTGCCCCATTCCCAGTGCCAGATTCCCAGTACAAGGTGCCCATTCCCAATGATCTGGTTCCCAGTGCCAGGTGTCCCATTCCCAGTGCCAGATTCCCAGTGCCAGTGCCCATTCCCAGTGCCAGGATCCCAGTGCAGGGTGCCCATTCCCAGTGCCAGGATCCCAGTGCAGGGTGCCCCATTCCCAGTGCCAGATTCCCAGTACAAGGTGCCCATTCCCAATGGTCTGGTTCCCAGTGCCAGGTGTCCCATTCCCAGTGCCAGATTCCCAGTGCCAATGCCCATTCCCAGTGCCAGAATCCCAGTGCCAATGCCCATTCCCAGTGCCAGAATCCCAGTGCAGGGTGCCCATTCCCAGTGCAGGATCCCAGAGCAGGATGCCCATTCCCAGTGCCAGTTTCCCAGTGCAGGGTGCCCCATTCCCAGTGCAGGATCCCAGAGCAGGGTGCCCATTTCCAGTGCAGGATGCCCCATTCCCAGTGCAGGATCCCAGTGCAGGGTGCCCCATTCCCAGTGCCAGGATCCCAGTGCAGGGTGCCCATTCCCAGTGCCAGGATCCCAGTGGGGGGATGCGGGGTGGATTCCCCATCCCGTGGTACCAAGGCAGGTGGCTGTGGAATGTTTTCACCCACATTTCCATTCCGTGCCCATATTTTCATCTGTGTGCCCACACTGCCACTGCCCTCTCCTGGCTGAGCTCAGGAATCTGGCACAGGTGTGGCAGAGTGTGTGAGTGTACACCTGTGTGCCCATGTGTGTGCCTGTGTGTGTGTGCCCATGTGTGTGTGCCCGTGTGTGTGCGCCTGTGTGTGTGCCTCCATGTGTTTGTACCCCTCTGTGTGTGTATGCCCTGTGTGTGCCTCCAGGTGCATGCCCATGTGTGTGTGCCCATGTGTGTGTGCCCATGCGTGTGTGCCCCATATGTGCCCACGTGTGTGCCTGTGTGTGTGTGCCCACGTGTGTGCCCATGTGTTTGTCTGTGTGTGTGCCCATGTGTGTGCCCCTCTTTTCCATGTGTGTGCCCATGTGTGCCCATGTGTGCCTGTGTGTGCCCACATGTGTGCCCATGTGTATGTGCCCACATGTGTGTGCCCTTGTGTGCACCCCTTTGTGTGCCCCTTTGTGTGCCTGTGTGCCCACGTGTGTGTGCCACTGCGTGTGTGCCCCTGTGTGTGCCCATGCGTGTGCCCATGTGTGTGCCCATGTGTGTGTGTGCCCTGTGTGTACCCATGTATGCCCGTGTCTATGCCCGTGTGTGTGCCCACGTGTGCCCGTGTCTATGCCTGTGTGTGTGCCCGTGTGTGCCCGTGTCTATGCCTGTGTGTGTGCCCATGTATGTGCCTGTGTGTGTCCATGTGTGTGTGCCCACGTGTGCCCGTGTCTATGCCCCTGTGTGTGTGCCCACGTGTGCCCGTGTCTATGGCCCTGTGTGTGCCCGCGTGTGCCCGCGTCTATGCCGCTGTGCATGCCCCGTGCCCTCACCACCGAGATGTTGGCCAGCCCCATGGCGGGCGTGGTGCCAGCGTTGCAGAGCACGCCGTCGGCCTGGCACACGGCCATGGCAGCGATGAGGGCGGAGGGGCGCGTGGCCGCCTTCACGTCGCTCAGCCCCTTGCCCCAGGCCGCCGCCGCCACCAGCCAGAAGAAGGCAAAGCAGACAGTGACACAGAAATCCTGCCAGGACGAGAGCCTGGCATCAGCTGGCACCCTGGCACGGCGCTGGGCTCACGTGCCCCGGGGCTGAGCCTGCCTTACTGTGAACGGGAGCTTCGTGTTCTCCGTGTACAGGGAATGGAAGCGGAGGTAGAGCACCAGAGCAGCCATGGAGTAGAGGAAGGAGAAGACCCCCAGGGTCACGAAAAACTCGGCGGGAGCAGAGAAATCGCCGACGAGGTACAGGGTGCGGGCTTCTGATTCATCCTCACAATTGGGCATCCCAAAGGGAATCTGGTATAACCTGGGGTACAGGGAGGGGGTCAGGGGGCTGGGAATGGACAGGATGGTGGGGGTAGGTGGTGTAACCACGCTGGGGTGGTCCCCTGGGAATGGAGGTGGTGACAGGGATGGATAGAATAATCAGGCTGGGGTGGTCTCCTGGGGTGGGAGAGATGAATGGAGTAAGTGCTGGGGTGGTTCCCTGGGAATAGAGGTGATGACAGGGATGGATAGAATAACCAGGCTGGGGTGGTCCCCTGGGAATGGAGATGATGACATGGGTGGCCAGAATAACCAGGATGGGGTGGTTCCCTGGGATAGAGGGCACAGATCCACTGCCATACCCTGGATTCTTTTCCAGGGTCTAGTGCCCTGGCATGGGGCAGGTGGCAGAGGAGAGGGGTTAGAACTGTGACTCTCATCTGGCCCAACTCCATCATTGCCTTCCCAGATAAATCAGGATTCCCATGGTCTTCCCTGAGTACTGAGAATTTCTGTCTCTCCCCACCCTGGTTTTCCATGATTAACAAGAATCCCCCTGGGTGGTGTCAGGAATGGACAGGGATGCCAGGGGATGTCCCATAGGGTCAGGGTGTGGATGGTTCCCAGCTGAACCCGGCACTGCAGAGACCATGGCTGTGGTCCCATGGAGGTCCTGCCAGCAGGAAGGGAATCTAACCCAGCCCAGCTTCCCCAGTTTGTGTGGGGGCAACTGGGGGGTGTCAGGGCTCAGCACCCCCTCACCTGAAGGGGTACCCAAACTGGATGCTGATGGCTGTCATCCCTCCACTGTCACATTTCACTGTGGCTCCGGTCTCGCCGCTGAAGGAGCCGCAGGAGCCGAAGGCGAAGATGGCAAAGAGCTACAGGAGAGGGCAGTGGGTCAGGGGGGTGAGCCCTGGGCCCCTTTCACCCTTGGGGGCCCGGCTGCATCCCCTGGCAGTCAGTAATGGGCAAGCTGCCACCCCCCAGGTGCTGCCCTCAGGTGCCTCCCTCCAGCACTGGGATTCTGCTGGCACTGGGATGTGAGGGTGGGGGTCATGTTTGGGTGGGTGGGGACACCAAGGCCAATCCCACCCCATCCCCCCTTAATTCTGGGCAGGGTACTGAGTGCCAGAGTGGGTTTCCAGGCAGCTGGGAGCATCCCCATGGTGGGACCCCCAGAGCTGTCCCCTCCCCAGGAGCCAGCACTGCCCTCCCTTGCTGTTGGAGTCCCACTGCTTTCATCTCTTGGATGAGGGTGCTGGGAAAACACCATTCCCAAAGGGTTTCCCCACAGCTCCTCCTGGCTGAGCTCCCAGCCCCCCTGGGTGAAATGGGGGATAATTTAAATTTAAAATAGACACTGTACTTTTTACAACAGCAGGACCTTATACAACCCACACTAGGACTCAAATAGTTCAGACTCAACCCAAACTTGAACCTGAAGTGTATGAAATAGGCCCCTACATAGTGAGAAATGTGGGTGAACAACTGTTGTTCAATCCAGAATGGTCTCTCAAACATGTTGAGTTGCTAATGCAAATTAACATCTCAAAAATCCAACCAGCCTGCTCCTCTCTCCTAAGAACATCCTTTGAGGGCTGGACAACGTTGTTACAAAGACAGGTATACCTCAGGAGCAGAATAAGAAAGGATCTAACTGGGATCCTTTAGGGACAAGATTGGGAGTTTTAAATGGAATTGATTCAGAAATACTGTTGAATATTCTCCTGCAGGGATGGGCAGCCCATGTGTGGCACTAAGGATTTAAGCAGCAGTGTCAATGGATCCTCCAGGGATTTTCTCCTCGGTTTTGTTTTTGGGCTGTCTTTGCACGTGGGATCTGATCCCATATGGTGGCCTCAATGGCAGGGGGAGCCCAGAGCCTCCGTGGGTGGGATTATGCAAACCAAAGAGCTGTAGGAGCGGGGGAAAGCCCCTCAAGCTGGATTCTCCCGGTGGGAGATGCCCAAAGAGAGCTGAGTCCCCCCTGTACCTCAGTTTCCCCCGGGAGCCCCCCGGCCCTGGCGAGGCCGAGCTGCAGAAATGCCACCCTGAAACCCAATCTCCCAGGAGCCATTCATGGCATGGCCAGGACAGGACAGAGCCGCGGGCACTTGGCTGCCCCCCTGTCCCCAGGGTCCCCTTCCTGGGGCTCACTGACCCTCAGTCCCTCTCCCCACACACCCACCCACCCCCCCAGTGCCCCCTGAGCCCCTGGCAGTGGCAGGGACCCGGCACCCCGATGTCACTGTCCCCTTTGGCATGGCTGGGCACAGCCACCTGCTCAAGGTCACCGGGAGGGGCTGGTGGCCCGAACCCGTGTGGCCCCACTGCCGTCCTCCCCCGGAGCCCCCAAAATGAGGCCTCCACCCCGCTGCTGATGGGGTGCAGGAAGCTCTGGAGGGGCAGGGGGGGCTCTGGGATTCCTTCAGGAAAGAATGGAACCCCTCAAATGTGGGGGGACTGCGGGCTGTGGGGAGCAGCAGTGCTGGGAAGGGGCAGTGACGGGGGCACACCGGGGACCGGGGGGCACAGCGGGGTCACTCACCCATTCCAGCACCTTGATGAAACCCAGCGGCTCCTGGAGGCGGCCCCAGCGCAGCCCACGAAGGACGCGGTCCTGCAGGAGAGAGCGGCGGGAGCACCGGGACAGCACCGGGACAGCACCGGGGGCTGCTCCGGAGGATGGGGCGCAACCCCGGGTTGCCACAACGGGATTGCCCCGGGCAGGGGGCTGTAACGGGAGTCAGGGGGCTGCAATGGGGCCTCCTCCGGGCTGGGGGTTGCCTCGGTGGAGAAGGGTCTGCTCCGAGAAACCGGGGGGATTGCCCCAGAGAACCGGAGGGGCCGCACCGGGGAACCGGGGAGCTGCCCTGGGGAAACGGGGGGGATGCAACGGGATTGCCCCGGACAGGGGCTTCCCTGGGGGACCGGGGAACGGCATCGGCCACGGCACCAGAGCAGCGGAGGGCTCTGGTGATCGGAGATCGCACCGGCGGCTACAACGGGACACTGTGCGCTGCTCCGGGGTCGGCACTGGAACACCACGGAAGCCTCCGGGGATCGCCTCCCAGACACCGGGGGGACACCGGGAGTTGCCCCAAGCAACAGTGCCGGGACACCGAGGGGCTGCACCGGGAGCCTGCCGCGGTCACCGGGAGGGGGGACGCACCGGAGCCCTACCTGGAGCCGGGGCGCTTTATCACCGGCCGCGGGGGCGCCGGGCTCCGACATGGCCGGGCCGGGGGCGGTCGGTGCTGCCTCCGCCGCCCGCTGGGACGGCTCCGCTGGCGGAGCCGCCACCGGGCACCGCAGCGCCCCCGGGGCGGGCAGCACCGCCCCGCCCCCGGCAGCGCCCCTGGGCCGGGTCCCCCTGGCCTGCCCCCCGCCCCGGGCCGCCCCCGGGCCCTCCGGGCAGCGCAGCGCCCCCCGGGGGGGATCCGGCCGTGCATCGGCTCCGCCGCTCCCCCGGCAGCCGGGAGCGCTGGAACGGAGCGGGAATTCCGCCGGGGAACGCTACCGGGGCCGGCAAGGAGGCTGGCGGCGTGACTCCGTGTACCGGGGGTTGGGGTGCCGGTATGGCCCGGGGGGGCAGGGGCGTACAGCCCCTCCCGGTACCTCCTCCCGGTATTCCCCTCCGTGCCGGAGCCCCTTCCCGACACCGCCTCCCGGAGCTTCTTCCCGGTGCCCCTTTCTCGGTATCCCATCCCGGTACCGCCTCCCCGACCCCCCATTCCCGGTACCCCCCTTCTCGACCCCCCTTTAACGACGCCACTTTCCCGGTTCCTCATTCCCGGTTCCCCATTCCCGGGAACCCCTCCCGGCACCGCGCCGTGCCCGCCGCAGGCCCCACCCCCTGCTGATCTGCCCCCGCCCCTGGCACTGCAGCCACGCCCTCTATAGACCACGCCCCTCAGGGCATCGCCCCGCCCCCACAAATCAGACCACGCCCCCACCAGCGTCCTAGCGGTATGACCACGCCTCCGATGCTACGACCCCGCCCATCGCGCATTGGTCCCGCCCCATCGCATGGCCCCGCCCATCTCCCGTCTCCCCAACCTCGGCCCCGCCCCTCCCCTCTGCGCTGGTCCCGCCCTCCCCGCGCTTCTATTGGTCGAACCGCAGCGCCGCTGTCCAATGGGTGGGCGGCGCGGGCGGAAGTGCCGCTCGGGGCCGGAAGCGGCGTTGTAGCCCCCGGTGAGGCCGCGGCGCTCCCGGTGCCCCAGGACCCCTCAAGCCCCCCCGGCCCCTCCGGAGTCCCCGGGATCCGCCGGCACCGCCCGGCCCCGCCGCCGCCATGTTCCTCACGCGCTCCGAGTACGATCGGTGAGTGCCACCCACGCCGCGGCTGAGTCACGGGCCTGGGCCCGAGCGGTCCGGGCCGCCCCCACCGGCGCCTCCCGTGCTGGGATCGCACCGGGAGCTGCCGGGAGCCCGCAGCCCTGCCGCGGGACCGGGGCTGCCAGGATGGGACGGAGCGAGGGCGAGGGGAGCTCGTGGTGTGCGGGGATGGGGTACCCGGGGTAAGGAGCGTGCCCAGGAGAGCGGCGGGGCTGGGAAGAGAACAGAGCACCGGGAGCGGCTGAGGGAGCTGGGAAGGGGCTCAGCCTGGAGAAAAGGAGGCTCAGGGGAGACCTTGTGGCTCTGCACAACTCCCTGACATGAGGGGACGCCCGGGAGAGTCGGGATCTGCTCCCAGGGAACAGGGACAGGAGGAGAGGGAACGGCCTCAGGCTGAGCCAGGGGCGTTTCCTTGGGATGTCGGGAATTTTTTCATGGAAAGGGCTGTCCAGCCCTCACACAGACTGCCTGAGGCAGCGGTGGAGTCCTCATCACTGGAAGGGCTCAGAAACCACGTGGAGGTGGCACCTGGGGACAGGGGTGAGCGGTGGCCTTGGCAGGGCTGGGGGAAGGTTGGGCTCCATGATCTCAAAGGACTTTTCTACTCTCCAAGGACTTTTCCAGTCTTAAGGATTCCAGGATCCCATGGTCAAACAGGACCTGGTCTGGCTCCTGGTGCTCCCTTTGCATTCCAAAGTGTTCCAGGACACCCCACCTGCTTCTCACCTGTGCCTTGACCTGCTGGCTCTCCTTGAGTCCATGACCACCCTGGGTCCCACCCTGTGGCTGTCCTGTGCTGAGGGGACATGGCCCTGCTGTCCCCTGCCCCACCTGTGCCCAGGTGGCCTCACCCTTGAGCAAGGCCTTGGTTTCCTGCCCTTCTCACTGTGTGTTCTCCTTGCAGGGGTGTGAACACCTTCTCTCCAGAGGGGAGGCTCTTCCAGGTGGAATATGCCATCGAGGCCATAAAGGTACTTTTAAAGAAGTTTCAGAGTTTCCTTCAAAGTTTCAGAGTTTCCTTCAAAATTTCAGAGTTTCCTTCAAAGATTTCCTTCAAAATCTCCTTTCCAAATCTGGGCTCCTTCCAACCCCATGCAGGAATTGCTCAGGACTTGTTGGAACCCTGGATGCTGAGAATTTTAAATTTTCTCTGCTGAAAGGCACAGATCCACAAGAGAACATTGCATTTAACCTGAGGCTGTAAAGAAGGCTTCCAAAATTGATTAATAACACTGGAATTATGAGGGTGTAGTTAATTAAAAGTGTGTAATATCACAGAATAGAAAACTTAAAGTTTGGGGTTTTAAAATATAATAATAAATATGAAGCAAAATAGAAGCTTTAGAGTCGAAACAAATTGTTCTTCTTTACCTTCTTCATAGACTTGAGTGGTATTTTATAACTAAACAGAAATTCCACACTGCAGGCTTCAATAAATCAATTATTAAGTTAAAAGAGAAATTAATTTAAGTAAAATTTTAGTTTAACTTTAAAAGACCTTCTGACAAGAGATAGTTAACCATTTTGTACCTTACTAATGAACAGCTAAAAAACTCACAGCTGTGACTCTGTAACATTGATAAGAAACAATGAATACCTAAATCTGAACACAAACTATCATCTCAAGTACCTTCAATCCCAACCCCAATAAAAATTAAAAAAAAAAGGAAACAAAGAACCCACAAGGTCTAATCCAGGCTGTGTCTGTTTCCTCCAGCCAAACATCCCACAGCTCTGCTCTTTTATGGGTCAGGAAGGACCAAAACCCATTGATTTTCCCCAAAATTCAGTGGAATGTTCCCTCCCCTGTCCTACCAAGTGATTTATCCCCAAAAAATGCAATCCAAAGCTGTTTATCCACAAATCAAACCTAAATCACTTCTTGGGTGGATTTAAAGGTAAAGCTGGAGGTTGTTAGGAGCAAATCCACCTTTGCAGGGCCAAATGGCCTTTGGGGATTAAACATCCTTAATTGATAAATGTCCTTAATTGATAAATATTCCTGTCTGTTACATTGGTAGAATGTGGGTGTTGATTGGCAATAAGTTTAAATTTGGAAGAAACAGGTTTAGTGATGAGGGGAGAAAACTCTGAGGTGTTTGAACTGGGGAGAAGGGTCCTGACTTCATCTTCCCTGTGTTCCTTTAGCTCCTTGGAGCACTAAAAAGAGGAATAAAGTAATAATGTAACAGAAAAAGTAATACAAGTATCAAGGACTTGGGAATTAAAGCTCCCAGGGGGATGTTGGTGACCATGCTGGTTTGATTAATAAAAACAGATCTGCCATTCCTGTGGCTGTCGGTGCAGCTTTCCAGGGAATTGTGGGGTTAAAATTAAACCCCATGTCTTGAAGTGGATGTTGGGAGGGAGCATTCCACTGTGCAGCTGAGACAGTTCTGCCAGGAAATTCCCTGGTGTGAGAGCTGGGAGTGCTGGGAGCAGGCTGGGATCCAGGCAGGGCTACTGGGATCAAGGTGGGGTGGAGGTGATTGTTGGTGGGATCAAGGCTGGGTTGAGGTCAGGAGTTGGTGGGATCAGGGTGGGACCAATGTGGGATTAAATAGGATCCTGATTAGGGGCTGGGATTAAATAGGATCCAGATTAGGGGCTGGTAAAATCCAGATTAGGGGTTGGTAAGACCCAAAAAGCATTGGTAGGATCAAGGTGGGATGAAGGTAATTGTTGGTGGGATCAAGGTGGGGTTAGGGTAGGACCAGTGTAGGAGTTGGTGGGATTGAACAGGACTGAGGTAAGGGCTGGTGGGATCCAGATTAGGGGCTGGTAAAATCCAGATTAGGGGCTGGTAAAATCCAGAAAAACATTGGTAGGATCATGGTGGGATCAAGGCAGGGCTGGTGGGATGAAAGGTGGGATGAAGGTAATTGTTAGTGGGATTAGGGCTGGGTTGAGTTTAGGAGTTGGTGGGGTCAAGGTAGGATCAGTGTGGGATTTGGTGGGATTAAATAGGATCCGGATTGGGGGTTGGTAAGATCCAAAAAGCATTGGTAGGATCAAGGTGGGATGGAGGTAATTGTTAGTGGGATCAAGGCTGGTGGGAGGTGGAGGTGCAGGTAATTGTTAATGGGATCAAGTTAGGAGGTTGGGGAGCTGTTGGGGTTAAGGCAGGACCACTGTGGTGTTTGGTGGGATTAAATATGATTGAGGTAAGGGCTGGAGGGATACAGATTAGGGGCTGGTAAAATGCAGATTAGGGGTTGGTAAGACCCAAAAAGCATTGGTAGGATCATGGTGGGATGAAGGTCATTGTTGATGGGATCAAGGCTGGATTGAGTTTAGGAGTTGGTGGGATCAAGGTGGGGGTTGGTGGGATTAAATAGGATCCAGATTAGGGGCTGGTAAAACCCAAAAAGCATTGGTAGGATCAAGGCAGGGCTGTTGGGATCAAGGTGGGATGAAGGTAATTGTTGGTGGGATCAAGGCTGGGTCTAGTTTAAGGGTTAGTGGGATCAGGGTGGGGTTAAAGTAGGACCAGTGTGGAGGTTGGTGGGATTAAATAGGATTGAGGTAAAGGCTGGTGGGATCCAGATTAGGGGTTGGTAAAATCCTGATTAGGGGCTGGTAAGATCCAAAAAGCATTGGTAGGATCATGGTGGGATCCAGGCAGGGCTGGTGGGATGAAGGTGGGATGAAGGTATTTGTTGGTGGGATGAAGGTAATCGTTGGTAAAATCATGGCTGAGTTGACTTTAGGAATTGGTGGGGTTAAGGTAGGACCAGTGTGGGGGTTGGTGGGATTAAATAGGATCCAGATTAGGGGCTGGTAAGACCCAAAAAGCATTGGTAGGATCAAGGTGGGATGAAGGTAATTGTTGGTGGGATCAAGGTGGGGTTAGGGTAGGACCAGTGTAGGAGTTGGTGGGATTGAACAGGACT